AATTTATCGGCTATTTTATTCAAGCCTTAACAGTAATATATACTTTTAAAATTTAAAAAAAAATTAAAGTAATTTATAAAATTATTAATAGCCTTATTAGTATAAAGACTTAATTATTAATCTTTATTAAGAAGTTACTTCTAGTTACTTTAAGTTAAATTTACTAAAATCCGCTTATGCTTAGGCCTGGGTTTATACTGGCTTTGGTGTGTGTTATTATCTGCGAGACAGGCCTGAGAAGCCTTGGTGTTCATCGTGCGGGCCTTAGCGTTGATTACGGGAGCCGTGATATCGTTTGCAAGAGATTGGATGTCGGTTAAAACAGACTCAAAGTCGGCTTGAAGAGTCTTGAGGTTGGTTATGGCTGGCTCTTGCTCTGGTGATGGGCTCCCAGTCGCGTCGTAGGAGGTATCAAAAAGCAACTTCAAGTCGTCGTCATTGTCGTCAGACCTCACAGACATTTTTGCTAGTATGCGATATGGTGCCCAACCACGCCACGGTGAGGTGTAAGAGAATGTGCTGAAAAGGGATGCAATATGCTAAGTTTTGTGCTCAGGATGCCTTGGCGGCTGGCGCCAGAAGCTTTCTAACCGGTGCGCAAGGTTGGTGAACTTGCGAGGATAATACAGGAGATACGAGACCAGGTCGTAGGCTATATCAGGCCGATCTAGATGCCTTACTACTTTAAATTAAGCTAAGTAACTGATGTTAACGTGTTAATACCTCTTGAGAGCTGTTAAGCGTTAAAAGGGCTAGCTTAGGGTTCTAAGGCTAGGATTGCAATGGGTACTGGGGCAATGCGTCTGGTAGAATATGGAGATTAGGGGGACGGGAGTGTGTATATCTTGGCATTAAGTGAGTTATTTAGCACGATAAGACGTATTACCTATAGTCAAGGTATGGATATCGACATGGCATAAGGGACAGTGGGGTAGGTTTAGTGGTTGGGTATTTGTGCAGGCGTTAATCTGCATTGATTACATATCTTAAGTCACAGAAAGACAGCTGCAGGGCAAGATGTACATCGTGGGCGGAGCATGACTGCAGATTCCCGTCGCCAACCTCCACCCACCCCCGTGTACAGGCGTGGTGAAAAGCTAGCCAATGGTCTGGGCCACAACATCAGCTGATCCAACCTTTGCAAACAGTGGCTTCGTATTCGCATTGTCGCCAGCAAGTGTTGGGGAGACGTATTGGTTGAGACTTGGAGAGTTGTATTGAAGATGTTGATGTTTGATGCCGGTGTTTAGGATACAGGCAATGTAAATGCACAAGTCCCAACTGCAAATAACACTTCTAGCTCGCAGCTGCATAAATTATAGAGGCCAATATCTATCCTCGAACAACCCAAAACCGCACCTTTCACACCGTCTTTCACAATAGCATCGAAGTCACCCTGCTCACTCGTAGAAGGGAAATGCTTAACAGGAGCTGCTCTAGATATATCTCGCTATTGAAGGTGTCTTATCACGGTATGAAGGATAACAATTAGTTGCTTTTTGAAAATGTCAATGCCGAGATGCTAATCGACAACATCAGTTGTGGAGTCCATCGAATCAGAGTAGTAGGACTTGTTAACCAACCCAAATCCATGTCCAAGAGTACAGCTAAGTCTAAGACACCTTGTCCAATAATACTCATATTCCATATCAATGCTCTTGAGTACAGCCAGCCTCTTCTAGCCTACCTTAACCACTTTACTATCTAGCCAATTCTTCACCGTAAGATAGCTTGTATAATACTCCATATTTATAAGACTCTGGAGGTCTGGACTTTAATAGTTTATTGTTTCAAGTGGGGCAGCTTTATCAAGGTATTTTCTGAGCAGTTTTATACTTAAAGTAGCTAGTTCTGACTCTAAATTATTTATCAAGCTTCAAGCTAGCATTCTGTGGCGCAGCTGAGAATACGAGAATGAGAATTATCGACGATGTGATCTTGACAGAGCTTTTAATATCTGACTCTAGAAATATATAAGAGAACACCGGGGAGCTTGTTCATTTCCTCTTACCACTATCACCATCGGCTTCATCTCTTACATTTTCTCACACAATTCCTTGATTGCTCAAGTACCCAATCACAATGTTGTTCTCAACAATCTTTAATCCATTTTCGCTGCTCATGGGCCTCCGGCTCCTTTCGGGAGTCACGGCAAGCCCCATGACAGAGTCTGAGCTTTCACTTGATGCCCGCAGCGTTGATACCGACACTAGCTCACTGGTCGCGAGAGATCTAAATGTCGATCAGATTGGAGCGCTCAACTACCATAACGCAAGGCGCAAACAATTGGGTATCCCCCCGCTGGTCTGGGATACTGAGCTTGAGGCTGCTGCTCAGAAATATGTCCAGAGCCTGGCCGATACGCAGGCTCGGTACATCATTTCGAGAATCAATACACGATTTGACCAAGGCGAAAACTCTAAGCTTTTAATGTAAGTATTGCACCTGTTTGAGCTAGAGTAAGGAATAATACTCTCTAACACATATAGTTTCTTCCCTAATGAAAAGATCAATAACCCGATGACAACGGCAGCTTGGTATTGGTAAGTTTAATACTACAACGAATCACTGAAGGCTTAATGTAACCTCTTGCTGATTGACTGCAATAGGATGGGTGGAGTGACGAATTACAAGAACTATGGCGGCAAAAACAAGTATGACCTTAGGCACCAGGGTGATGGCGCTGATTACTATAGTAAGCCTTTTATCTCAGTCCTCCCCATGTAGGGAATGCCTTACTAATATCTTAAACCATTTACAGCTCAAGCCATTTGGAGAGCTACTACCAAAGTTGGAATTGCTACCGCCCGGTATGCGGATAAAAATAACAATACTTTTGTCTATGTTATTGCCCGATACTCTGTTCGAGGTAATATTGTAGGTCAGACAATTTGGTAAATAATGGTATACTTGGTATATATAAGCCATTCTAGGACCTAAAATGCTAAATTCTACTGGTTTTTTATAGTCAAGCTATGAGATAATATCTCTATATACTTAGTTATAGCTAGTTAGTAGCTCTTTTAAGGTAGCACTAGGGGTCTTACAGTGCCCAGCTATTTCTTCTACAGATCTTTTATCTAACCTGCTCTACCTTCTCATGCTGTATCCAGGGTAAAACACTGCCTCGCATAGGTTTTCCATTCTTAAGCAAGCCATTTCTATCAAGCCTGCCGAGACACTATAGGGTAACTGTAAGGAGTTTTATCACGCACTTAGTGAATCTGACTAATCTTTAACAATGCTCTCGCCTCGCATATCTTCCAAGATTTGCCAAATTCGTCGGCGGTTGGTAAAACGACCAGGAGCATCCAACCCAACCTCGGCATAATCCCATATACCCTCATCCCGGTAACTGGTTGCATTTGCAGGTGCAGGATGTGGAGAACTTAAAATCTGTCTGGTGAGCTTTTCCCAGTTCCACTTCTTCACTTCTTCCAGGTCTGAGCCCGTCTTGTCATGCACAATCTGAGTATCAAGATCCCAGAGAAACGGGATTTGCAAAAAGATTTCTTTCCATACAGGTTGAGAAAGCAGATAATTGTCTTTAGGAAAGGCTTTGGTGTCGTGGAAAAAGTCTTGGATATAGTCATGAAGGCCCTCTGGTAATACCTCTGCAGAGGTCTCAACTGAATTATCGTCCAGTCGTTCTAGATTTGCGAGGAGACTAGAGGTCAGATCTGGGATATCCATAGGGTTCTCATCCCACTGGTGCATTGGAAGCTTGTCAGCATATGGAGCTAGTGGTAAGACTCATATGAATCGTAAGCTTACCCATCCTTCCCATTCATCACCCCACTGTTCCATACAGAGATAAGGAACATAATAACGCTCAAAGCCTAGGATTTTCGGCTGGCCAGGTGAGTTGTATGGGATAGGAGGGACATAATTCATATCCCTTGGCTGCGGTCGCTGTTCCAGTAGTTGGCCAAGATAGCGAGCACAGCGGCATTCCAGAACACACCAGAGTTCATATATTGAACCAACTGTGACAAACGGCGACTTGATAGCTCGATTGGCGATGTCATCGCAAGCTGCGTGAATCCCCATATACATTTTTGCTGAAGTGGTATTCGACTGTTCATCGGATTGGCAAGTAGAATTATATGGATGCTGAGGATACACTTGTTCTCTATCTGGTAGCAGAAGCAGTTTACCAGGATAGTATTCTACCTCTGCAGTATAGCGAACAATCTTCTGGCTGGACAACTGCGCTTCCAAAGGTGCGGAATCATACGTCGGCCAGTGGGGACCAGCCAAGACAACGGTATCTTCGTCCAAATCCATACCGCAGATAGTGCAGTACACATAGTCCGGATTGGGAACCATGGCAGGTTGTGATAGGAAAGAGGAAAAAAGGCTGGGAAACTGAAGACGTTGGCAATTCGAAGCCCATATAAGAGGGGCGCCTTCAAGAGAGTTTATACTAAAAAGTCAAAGAGTGTCAAACTCCTCGCTGTTATGTCAGCAGACGAATAAAGAGCTAGCTATATATTCATGGCTTACCATGAAATAAAGCCTTACAGCCGGACCATCAGAGTCCATACACCAGCCTTTACCAGGAGCTCTTTTTCATCTGATCTTTCTCGATATTTGAAGCTTGATAACACAGCCACTAATTTCCCTTGTACTACAAGTAATCCTAACGTGACTGTGATTACGGCTTTGTAGGGCTGCGCCGCTCAAAGGGATAAGCACTTTGCCCCTTCGAGGCACATCCCCTCTGCTGCGTCTTAATCATCCAATTTTCCATCAATCCACTTCAGGTCTTTTCAAGATCTTTTGCAATTTCTCATTCTCTCTTTTCACGGCTTTATCGTAATGACCTTGATATCGGTAGTGGTGCAGGATCCAAGACACAAGTCTCACCTGCAAAAAGCACATCTATCTATCTCGCAACGTAGAAACTGTACCATTTATTGTGACTATGACTACATATGGTCCATAGGGATAGCTTGATCTAGGTTGTGGCTGAACAACATCCTCCATGCACATCAACTGTAAGCACGTATTTCCAACACAGACTGCATATGTAAGCAAGGTAAGAGTCTGGCGGTCATCCCGCTTGGTCAACCTGTTCGTTACATGATGACTAAGAAGATGAGGGTCGTATATAATCAATTGTCAGCCAATAAGTCTCGAACATTATATTTAGGGTCACAGTAAGCAGAAGATAACCATGAACTCTTACCTGACTTAATGACCATTCATCGACGCCCCCGTTCTTACATCAGCAGCAAAACCCAAAGAACTTCTGCAAGAGGCTGCCGCTTGGTTTGCTGCAAGGGCATTCTGTATCTCGTCAGCCTTGATCCTACAGCGAGTTGCACCTTAAACCATAGATCAAAGTCCCGATTCGTCATGAAAAGACCGTAAGCGCCAGTACCAATCCTGAGCTGCATAGATAGAATACGAGTCTGACTGATAGGGTAGGGGGGGAAATGAGATACAAGCTACAGTATTCTAGTGCTTAGCTAGTGTAAGACTTGCTCTTCTCTTCCCAAAGTAAGGTCCGTGTTTAGCATCCAATGGCAACGGCTCAGGCATCTATGGGGGCTAGGTAGACATAGAATACAGTAAAGCTTTGTCTTTAATACTGTCATCTTAGGATGACATCTCCTCTGATGCAGCGGTTATCGTTTATTGCCTTCCGGAAAGGGAATCATAGAGCCACAATGTCTGTGGATATGTCAGGATATACTTCCAATGAAACTAATGCCAATTATCTTTGAGGGAACTGCTTCAAAGCACAGGATTCGAATCCTCGTCTGTGTATCTAGTAGTAGGGCTGAGTATTATTTCTATGAATATCTGAAGTCCCTGTAAAAAAAGGGCATCTATATATCGTAGATATCCTCAAGTCCTGTATCCTGAGAGACCAACCAGAAACTCAACTACTTGAAACGAAAGCTCTTCTCCTATTTTTTATATCATTATATCTTCAAAAAAAGCAGTTTGTTCACCATCTCATCATTCATTTACCAATCGCCATGAAGCATTGCTTTATATTGGCGCTTTGGAGTGTAGGGGCCCTTGCGGGACCCTGCAATCCAATTGAGACAGCAGGATCTTCCACCTTTTCAGGGGGACTTGAGGATTGCAATGACGAGCTTGCAAAAGATTCATCTACCTTTCTAGCCGTAACCCTCCCGGGTCAGGATGTTGCAGTTGAGACCTCAATCCCAACAGAGTCCTCTGACAATGAGAATGCTCAGGTTTCAGTATCTATTCGTCCCACTGAGCCCACCCAGGTTATAAATGGCCAGGAAACAGGACTTGCTTCCGGAGATGATACCAAACCGGGAGAAGATGGCTCTGCTCCTGCAACTACAACCGGTTCTGCTGCTGGAGAAGCTTCTGATAACGCCACCTCAGCAGGAGCAAACGGTCCCGGAGACGTTGACACTGAGACCGTCCCCGCCAACGTGGGCAATACCGATTTGAACGGAGAGACCACTCAAGGTCTGTCTCCTGACACTGGAGGCCTACCCACGGCTACTGGCTCTGGGAACTCGAACCAAGAACAGCCTACGACTGAATCGCAACCTACGGACCATCCAGTCTCTGAAAAGACTTCAGCCTTCGGATCTGATAACACCTCTGCTGTCGACACTTCACCCAAGACTACTCAAACAGAGGCACACAATGGCGCTCATACAACCACCCATGGAGACGACGCTACCTCCAAGCATGTTTCAGATAACCCAGATACATCATCTGTCAGTTTCTCGTCAGGCAATGATCAATCGACTAATGTCGACACAGCCACTACAGCCAATCCGACCGCTACAAATGATGGAAGTGACAGTACACCTACTACAAGTAAAGGAGATCATAGCACTCCTAGTACTGAAGCACCGAATGACGATACCCACCTGTTACATTAAACCCTGGAACCACCGCCAACGGTGCCATACCTACTCCTGCCATAACAGACGCTCCGGAGGGATTGTCTCCAACGACTGTCGGAGGCCACCCTGAGTGGGTATCCAACACTTGGATCACGACGACAGGTGATAATTCTGAGACTACTATCGTCCCAGTCCTTGTCGGCTGTCCTGGATGCGGCGGGAAAGGCTCAGGCATTGTCCTATTTGGCTTTCCCAAGACAACCGGTACCTGGTTCAAGCTGCCCGGCCTTCCCAAGTTCAAGTTCCCCTGCATACCTCCTTTCTGCACTACTAGCCCCGATACATCGAAGGACAGTGACGAGGATGACGACGACGACGACAATAAGTCTTACTCTACAACATGTACTGATAAGGCAACTGTTACCGATTGCTTCGTTACTTGTACAACCTACACTGGGCCAGCTGGGAGTGCTATTACACCAGACTGCAAAACAACCTGCACCAAGACACACACTGGATGCGATGTGGTGGGAACTACTACTACACCCTCTGCTACAGCATGTGGCCCTTCAGGAGACAGCTCATGCAAGTCCTGTGAGCGAAAGCTGGTGTCTGAGGTAGATCCTGAAGATCTAGACGAAGATACTGAGGACTCAGAGGAAAGCGACCTTGAGCGGAGGGTACCAAAGAAGAAGAAGTTTGTTAATGTTAGAGGTTGCGGGAAATTACCCAAGAATCCCAAGTTCCCCGACTACCCCGGAGGCAACACCGTTTTGGACAATGACAGGAATATTATCCCCAACAATTCTCCATTGAAAGATATCAAGAAATAGTAGCTCACCACTACGGATAAGAACTGCAGTCCTATACTTAACGGAAATCTTCCTACAGCCGACTTTCATTTGCATCTTAATTATTATATTAAAAATTATTATATATTAATCT